ATACCTCACGAAATCAGAAATGGCTGGACAGATTTTGATGAAACATTTGGAATATTTATTTTTTTGAAATCCGAATAAGGTTGCTACCTATTTATAAATCTAAATTTAGTGTTGGCGTTTTCACGCCATATGGGTCCACTAGTAATAAATACTCTTCTAAGCATAGTATGTTACAAGGTCTTATCGAGCGTATTGTGTGAAAGACTGACGCCCAAGTTGGATAAGGAAGTAAGGCGAATGGGTCTGGTGGTAGAGGACAAGACGAAGTATCTCCTGTCATGAAACAAACAGTCAGCGCATTCGCGCCTTGGCATCCACAGCATTAACACCAATAATAATGTCCGCCTTGAAATCTAATGCAAAATCACTTTTGCCAACAACTAGGAAGCTCAGAGAAGACAAAACGTAGAAGGCAACCAATTTCCGGCATGCAGCGTTACTGCATGAAATAAAAAGGGGCCGCCTAAATGGAATTAAAGCTGATATGGAAGCCAGCACTGATTACGTAACGCCTGTTTGGTACTTCAATACGAAAATACCCATTCGGTTCCCGACCAGAGAAGTATGGGATGCAGGATTGCCAGTAGCAGATGACGTCGCCGTGACGAATGACTTGTAGAACAAACGGGAAGACTGTAAGGCCACAAGGTTATTATGGCCGCGGTTTAGTAGGAAAAAGACAGGGGACATTCTGAAACTCATTAGATCTCCAGTAAGAGTCCTTACCGGCGTTATCACAGGACACTGTGCTAAGGGACCAATGCTTCAACGGTGGCAAATACGATCAAGTACTCTCTGCAGAGGATGTCATGATGAGGATGAGGAAGAGTCTCAATTGTGTCGATTCCAGGTCTACAGACGAAGCGACTCAAGTTCGTGGGTGCACGCTTTTTCAACAGTCTGGGCGAGGTAGCGGAGGTGGAACTTTTGGATCTTCTCGGCTTCATCAAGGATAATAGTTCAGTAGAATAATGTTTTAAAGCTACTTTCTTCGATTATAAGTGCGTGTCTCCTCCTCACACTCACTAAAAGATGGCATGATTTCTGCATTGGAAATGCTTCCCATGACAAACAATTTGACCTTCGGAGGTCGCGCAAAACTGTATACTGGACAATAACAATAACTTACAAATGGTAGAAGTTATGGCTGCTGTTTTAGAAGTCATCATATCTCCTCTTTACTAATCTGCATCAAATTCGTTGAGATTTGAGCCAGCAACTCTGGCGAAGCTAAACCCAAACCTAAAGCAAAGAAAGTAATACTTTAACCGAGCGCGCTCCCAACATTGAAAAAGGGGCGAGCTCGTAAGGCAAGAAATAGTTTGTATTTTAAAACTTGCATATTCAAAGTCATATGTATGTAGACACTGACTATTAAAATAGAATTGTTAATACAAATTTTAAGGCCACCCAAATCGAAAATACCATTATGGATGTGCATACAAATGTATGTGTGTATGTAGTACACATCAATCGATATTACATTACAGCTTAGATCAACTTTAAACAACAGGCTCAGCACTATTCACACTCGTAAAATCCTTTACTAATACTTTTAATGTCTTTAAAGAAACGTGATGTTAATGCAAAATTTAATTTCAAACCCCATTTGGCATTCACCAAATATCCATAAAAAGTTAATTTTAGTTCCACCATAATCGCGTATTGCATTGCATGTATGTGAATGCCTGCATGCTACCCAGCAGGTCCATAAATTGGAAAAGCTGCAATCGCTTTTAATTAGCTATTAGAAAATTGTGTTTTTGTCACGGTGATGTTTCATATTATGTACATATAAACATACATACATATATGTATATATCTACCCACTCTCGTTGTCTTACCACGCCATATCAACCGACTACCCACCAACCGACCGAACCAACGAACGCCCGCCCGCACGCCCACCCGCCAATTCGCTCACCCCCTAGCAATTTAAATGTATAGAGGATTTTGCAAGGCTGCTTATATTGTGCATTTACAAAAACAAAAACAAAAA